ATGTTTGATGTCAAAAGATGACGTCACTCACTCTTACAAAAGATAGCAAAAATATAACGCTTTGCATCAGGATTTCAAGAAAAAACTTGAAACAACCAGTGATAATTAGATCCTTAGAAGATTATTCCAGTTAAGGTTCAGCTGAATTAAATGTCGGATAATTTTCGTACTGAGTTCCTCTTTCAATTCAAACCATCTAGGTTTCCTGGACCGTTTAATATTCGCAGAAAAACAAGAGTCTTTTTTCCTCTTTCTTTTGTATTATTTTATTGAAATACTGCCCGCAGSGCTAAACGCGCAGTCCCCAGTACATGGCGTGGTAGGAATCAACTAACTTCTCTATAATCATGTTTATTTATCCATTTAGTATTCCTTTATTTACATTGCTATTTCTATCCTATTTTGCGTTTTTGAAATATTTATATGAAGTCCTAACAACCATTCTCCCGGTTTTTTTTAATCATTTAATTATTTTTTTATATTTCTTATTTCACTAAAACCCATCCTCGTTCATGCCAGAAAGCCAGTTTTTCTCTACATTTTTAGGAATCAACTTAATCACTCTCAGAAACCCCTTCATGTTCGCTACCCTATACAGGTGAGCGAGAGTTGAGCTTGCTAAACCAACAATCTCCTCAAAACCTTGATCATACTGCCCCACTGCCATTACAAATATCTCCACGCCGGCAATCTTTAGCTGTTGGCCACGAATCAGCGTCATGTTCCTTTTAACATTCGATAGACCGTCTGTGACCAAAAAAATGCGTCGAACGCTTCCTACACGGATGTTTGACGTGTTACTTTTGATCAGTTTGTTTAAAGCCATAATTAGGGCTTCCTGTGTGTTGGTCTTTCCACGACGATGTTCTATCTTCTTCAAATTTTTCTTCGCATTTTCTTTATCCACGAAAACAAATTCTAATTTCGCGTGATTGGAGAATGTGATCGCTGCGTACTTGGTGTCCGGCTTTCCTCGCTCGACCATTGCTTGTAGAGCTCTCAGCCCGMGTTTGAAGTTCACYCGCTTGACGGAWTCAGAAGAGTCKATTATTAACRCCGTATCTRTTYGTTTTCGTTGGAGAAAATCATCGCTTCGTGGTCTTCGCGCGTGTTTATTGATATCGATTTCACGACCTAGGAAATACTTTGCAAACTTGACAGCAGTTTCTCGTGGTGGCGGTATTTTGATTATGCCTGCCAGAAGTAAAAATTAAAAGAGCGTTTTTTTAGTTGCGCACTGGGTATATCAAATGCGCGCTCGTATAGGATGCATTATACTTTTTATCGCTCACCCTCCGGCCTTGGTACGTACCTAGCATAGGACCTCGATCTTGGTAATTTCAAGTATTGAGCGTTTCGACGTGACGTCACAGCGCCCCTATTGGTGTACCAAGACAATACATTTTCTATCCTCCGGGAATTGAACTCTATTTTTATGCAACTGTACAGAAGTTTTTATTGATACACCAACATGGCTGCCTTGTCACGTGAGTGAAAACGCTCTATTTAACGATAACGTGCTTTCACTATTCAATGATTATGTAGTGTCCATTATTTGTGTGGCAACGGCCTGGGGACGCCACTGATGTCCGCAGAGCAGGCTGGACTTTACTGACTCTTACTCGCCAGGTCGCACACCTTAAATGGCGCTGTGTTTTCCATTTAAATTTTTTTTTCAAATACCAAAAATATTATTTTTCTATCACAGCACGTTTAACTATAATCTCTACGACGTAGATTGCTTTTTAAAAGCGCTGTTAATGGATATGTGAACGCTGTCTACAGCAGGGAATAAGACATCAAAGCGCAGTGATGGAGTATTTGTAATTTAGCTAACAGTGGGGGTGTCGTTATTATGGTAAGGTAAGGAGCGGGAATAGGCCAGTTTCGAGTTCCAAATTACCGCTGTGTTTCTTGATTATAGACTCATTTGCACAGGGTTAGCTTCGAGTTTGTGCAGAATATTCACGTGTTCCAGTCAAGGTCCGTCGAGTTTCAAAATGTTTGTATTGTTGAGGTTGTGCATTCTTTACTTTTCTGTTGGTATTTGTGAATATTTAAACACTGATACGAGGCTAACCCTGTGCAAATGAGTCTGTAATCAAGGAACACAGCGGTAATTTGGAACTCGTGAAACTGGCCTATTGGTTACCCTTTGTATTATTAGGTACGCGAACGAAGGGTGAGGGGGTAAAGAGCTGTTATATGAAACGCGCACGAAATGAGATGAAGTGGGGAGCTTTTGTCTTTAGACGCGACCCATAGCAATAGCAATAGACCCTTGCGCTATGCGAAGTATTTTTAACTTCACACATTCGTTCCATTTACTATTAGTGTTATCTTTTCGCTAGCGTCGTGCATACTTGTTTGATTGTTGCATAATTGTTCTAGCTGAGCTGATAACGCTTATATCTCTGTCGCGGTCACCGAAACGAAACAACCTGACAAACATCATGAGATCATCATACGCGATTGTAAGGATACTTTAGGAAAAATATCAATGCTCTTCCATCCTTACACCTCAAATATCGATTTTTTCCGCAGTCGTCAACATCCTCAAAAAAAATTTACGGCTTTGAATTCCACTAAAATCATAAATATGTYGTACATTGAGGGGATTGACTATAGCCTATAAACAAAATTAACAATTATTTAAAGTATGGAGATAAATCAATGACTATAAGATAAGATTTCTAGTAGTTTTTCTCTGGTCGACTAACAAATTGAGCACGACACTCCAGAGAAAGCCTTAGCATTGCTAGTATTGCGTTTTACCAAAATATCTTGAAGAAATTTTTTGCGCTTTGTCTCATTTCCCATTAGATGTGCTGTCAACCTGAAATCAGTTTTTCATTTCTGTTTTTTTTAAGTAAACCGTGATAATGATCATTGCT